GGGGGCTGAGCAGGGTGGGGGCGGCGACTACAGGGGCCACCCAAAATTATGCTGGACGGAGTGGCTGAAAGAGGAGGCTCTCAGCTACTCAGCAGTGTCTCGGGGGCTTAAGGGCCAGCACTGTCAGACTGGCTCGGGGTCAGCCAGGCACGAGTGGCCAGCTCGCAGGAAAAGACTGAGACAGGTAACAGGGAGGAAGGGGCTCCACGGTTCTGCTCTGGCCAAGAGGCCTCGTGGACAAGGTGACACGGGGTTGGGTGTCCTTGGGTCACCACAGGGCTGCCAGTCCAGCCCGCAACGTGGGCGGGGCCTGGGGCACTTGGGGCTCACCAGAGATGAAGGAGACTTCGCTGAAGAGGAGCCAGCGCCCGGCAAAGAGGAAGCGGCACTGCAGAAACCGCCCCACGCGGCCGCCCAGGGGCACAGACACGGCCCGGGCGCGGGGGTCTCCCAGGCTCCCCCCAAGGGCATGGCGCACGGGCTCCCCTTCCCAGGCCGCGGCAGGGCCCCGCTTGAACCGACACTCCACCCCGCCGGGCAGGCGGGCTCCCAGCGTGTGCATGTTGTTGCAGTGAATCTGGGGACGGGAGAGGGCGCAGTCAGCGGCGGGAAAGCTGCAGGGGCAGCCCGGGCCTCCAGCGCACGGACGCCTCACTCGCCTGCATGGTCTGGAAGGCCCTCAGCCGGTCGAACTCGAACTCCATCTCCACGAAGCCCCCGGGGAAGCTGCGGTTGCTCCAGCCCACATAGTCGTATCCTGGCCACACGCGCAGCTCCCGGCTCTGCCTGAAGTCGTCCAGCCCTACCACGCCGTCAGCCAGCTGGCCCAGACCACCATACTGCAGGCTGAGGGTCACCCAGGCAGGGCCAGTTGGCAGGGAAGAAGGGAGTGGCTCCCCGCAGCCGCTCTCGCTATCAGCCCCATACCTGTCAGCCCTCTCCCTTCAGGCAGCACCCCTAGAACACCACAGGCGGTACTTGGCAGGTCAAACCCTGCAGAAGGGCAGCACCTCCCACTCTGCTGTGCACTTTTGCTGTGCACTGCGTGTTCTATGGGGCCAGTGGTCACCCACTGCCCTCTGTTGCTTGTCCTAGTCCTGGAGGCCCCACCTCGCTGACCCCTGTCCCCAGCTTACAACCTCACCTCCCTCCCAGCCCGGCTTGTGGAGTCACTCTCGTCTCACCCTTCCACAGTAAGTCCATCGTAGGTGGAGTCGTTGAGGTGCACGGCCTCGGGTAAGTACATGGTCTGCCCCACGGGGGCTGTGTAGGACAAGAGCCCATCTGCGGCAGGGAGGGGAGGGCGGCTAGAGCCTGGAGCCTGTGCCCCACCATGGCAGCCCTGGGCAGACCCTGCCCAACTCAGTGGCAGGAGACAGGGTCCCCCATTCTTGCCACCCAGCCTAGAGCGGATCTCCAGGCACGGCCAACTCACCCCTCCAGAGGCAGCCGTAGAGCTCCACCCGCAGACACACACTCATGATCCGGTCGGCCCGGGGATAGAAGCGAACCATTCGGGCTACCATGGGGGGTCCAAGGTCCTTTAGCACTACACCCCCAGGGTCATCGTTACCTGAGATCACCTGGGGGCCAGGACAGGGTGCATGGGGGAAGGGCCACAGTTGGATCCCACCTCCCAACAGCAGTGGCCACAGAGGCCTGTGGAGGGCAGCACTGGGGCACAGCCCAGGGTCCAGAAAGGAGGTCTGCAGCAGAGACACAGGTCCTTGCAGCCCTGGCCTCACACCCTTCACCCCATTCCTCCTGCTGTCCTTGTCTGACCCCTCGGCCCCTGCTCCCCACTTTGGCTCTTGCCTGCTTCACCCCACTTCTGTGCATTCAGCAGAAGTTGGCCGCATGCCTGCTCTGTGCCAGGCACGTTCTCAGTGTGGGCATGAACCCTTCCCTCCTAGCACTGACAGTCCGAGAAGCAGCTTCAAGGGACAAGGGGTGCTGTGTGGGGACAGCCCTGGGGTGGTGGCCAGAAAGGCTCCAAGTGACACCTTGGAGGACTGTGTGGAGTGAGGAAGAACCTGTGGGTGGGTGAGTGATGAGCTTGCTGGGCACAGAGCAGTGAGCGAAAATTCCCTCACCCTGGGGAATGAGCCCCAACTTGTTCCAGGAAAAGCAAGAAGAGCTGTGCGGCCAAAACAGAGCAGGAAGCAGGCGATGCAGCCAGGGCCAGCCCCAGCCAAGCGCTCTGCCCTGCAAGGAGCTGGCAGCGGGCGTGCCAGGTCTGATTCACACTGGTGCAGGCAGAAAAATACAGACGCGACCAGCACAGTGGGGTTGGGAGTGGGAACTGAGCCCCACCAGAAGCAATGGGGAGAACGGGCGCTGCTCAGAGACCACCGAGTGGTGAGGCTGGGAGGCACAGGTGTACTGAGCAGAGAGGTGCCAGGCTCCCAGGTGCCACCCCAGCAGCCTCACCTCCTGACCCCAGCGGTCCTTCCAGTCCATCCAGTGTTCACCATCCCGGGAGTAACGCAGCCGGTAGCTGCGGGAGAACTCCTTGCCAAGGCCACCAGCATGGCGGCCCTGAGTGCCCACCAGTGCCACCAGGTGCAGGCGCCGGAGGTCCACCTGCAGGTACTCCTCCTCTTTGGGGAACACGGGCCCTGCCGGACACCACGCCCCATCCCCATCGCTGCTTTCCAGCCTGGGAGGGAGAGAGAAGCCACGGTGACCAGCAGCCGGCGTGTGCACGGTCTCTGGCTCCACTGAAGGGGTCACGTAGCATGGGCAAAGGGCTGGGAGGGCAGGTGGAGGCCTGAGCCTCCTAGGCTGCCGAGGGGTGTGGGTACCTGCTGTGCCGGGCAGCCGTGGAGTCCGACCAGGAGCTGGAGACAGAGATGTCACTGTCTGGAATGGTCCGGTCCTGCATGCCCAGCGCGTAGCGGCACTTGTCTGGACAGAGGCGGGAGACAGGTCAAGGCCCCTGAGTCTCTGCCCTCCAAGCCCTCCTTAGGGACCCAAGATTCGGTCTTCTCACCAGGGTCAAAGTGTCCCTTCATGTCAGCTTCTCCATCTACCACTGAGAGCAGCAACAGCAGCAGGAGAGGCGAGTGGGCCCCTGGCCCCATCGCTCCGGATGCCTCGGGCCTACGGGGGTGCAGGCAGCATCTCTGCAGGGGACACAGTGGCAGGAGGGGTAAGGAGGGGCAGACGTGGTGGCTGGTGGGGCTGGGGCCGCAAAATCACAAGCTCCATCGCTGCTTCGGCAGCGGCTCTGTCCACTGGGCGAAGCCCTGAACAGCATGCTGTTACTACTCTTTCAGGACATTCAGGAACTGGAGAAGAGACCACTAACCCTAAACCCTCCCCGCGACCGGAGAAGGGCAAAGTGCCTCACAGACAGCAGCTTCCAACAAACGTCACACCTGCAAACACGTGGGCAGTGAGCGTAACAGAGAAGGTACACACTACAGGCTTCAAATTCAAAGAAAAACAACCTAATAAACAACCAAGCAGAGAAATGGCCAGAGTCTGAAGAGTCATTTCATAGAAGAGCAAGGCCCAACTGTCAACAAAAGTTTGTGGGTTTGTTTTTATTTATATTTTCTAACGTGCTGGGCTGACCTCAGGGCCATCACACTGGCTGAGCTACGCTCTCGGATCTTTTATTGCTTTTATATACTGGGCCAGAACCTTGCGCAGGTGCCAAGTTGCCCAGACGGAGCTCCAGTGTGTCATAGTCCTGCCTCAGCCTCCCACAGTGCTAGGATCACAGGCGTGTGCCACCACACCTGGCTTAAACATTTGTTTTTAAATAGTAAAATTCACTAGAGTCAGAGAAACACCAGTCTGATAACAAAGAATTTTCTGACGAGGGCCCTGTCTTGCCCGGGCAGGCCCTGAACACCTGGGCCCAACAGGTCCTCCCACCTTAGTGTTCCAAGCAGCTGGGACTGCAGGCAGGTCACCTGGCCTGCTGGGGCCCCTGTAGGAGGCAAACGGTGATAGGAACAGAGCCCCGAGCTCCGCAGCAGGAATGGAGAAGTATCATCTGTGTGGAAAGCAGCCCAGCAGTGTCTGAAACAACTGCAAGGGCACACCTTCCGGCCCGGACCCCGAGCTTCGGGCCAGAGAGAGCTGTGCGCAGGGGGGGGGGGGACATAGATGTACAGCGACATCCACTGTGGCGCTCTCAGTGGGCACCCAAAACCCTAAGCCACACAAACATGCAAAGGGATGGGCCGGAGGCAAGGTTCAGGGTCATGGGCTTGACACAGCTGTGAAAAGCAACAGCAGCCTGCAGGTCCCACTGGTGTGGCGTCTCTGCCTCCAGCAACATGGAAGCAGGAGAAAGCAGCCTGCCTCCTGGAAAGGTGCAACAACGAGCCAGTGCTGTGCACAGGGGTCCGTACACCTAGAGTGGGCGAATGGTAGAACACGGCCCAGAATCAATGGCCCCAGAGAGGAAAAGCAAGCAAAGAGGGAAAGACCATCTATCTGGCTATTTTTCCTAAAACTTGTAAATACGGCAACACATATCTTGTAGGAATAAAAGAAAGACTATAAAAACTACTTTTATTTTTAAGAAGTGCAGGTGTCCTAGAAAAGGCCAGGCAACTCCTTGTGGAGCGGACTATAGATTAAACATCAGCCACGCCTGCACCAGTGGACCCTGGGCCTCCCCCTCCTGGAAGCCCAGCATCTGAGAAACCACAGGGCCCAGGGCCTTCCAATACCCAAGCCCTCTGCAGCCACCTCAGCCCACGGCATCCCAGGACCTGTGAACTCCTGATCTTTTGGGAACTTGGGAAAAATGCAGGACCTCAGGCCCACCTAGGCCTTTGGGGGCCGTGGCTACAAGGGGGCTGGAGCTTAAGAACCCTCCTGTGTCCCTCTGGAGGACCCAGCTGTGTATTCCACCTGAAGCACTTCCAGCCACCTCTCCTTACAACCCAGGCATCTACTGGTCCCTGCCCAGCTACAGAGAACACGATCTTCTGTCCCAAGCTGAGCCTGCACTGCAGCCTCAGGCCACAGGATCCTGAAGGGGTCACACCTCTCACCCCCATGCCCCCCAGGGGGTTCCCAGCAGCCCCTCCTGTCTGTGATTCCCATCAGCCTGTGTCCCTGTCCCGCAGTGGATGCCACCTCAGAAAGAAAAGCCCAAAGCAAGGGGAAGGCTGAGTGGCCTTGAAGGTGAGAGAGGCCAGGTCACCCTGAGGTAGGAGCCACGGGGTACTTCCCCGTCCCTTTGTCCTCCTCCAGCTGCCCCCACAATCCTCTAGGGCAGGAATGCAGAGGCAGCTGAGACCCCAGAATCGGAAGCGGCAGCTGAGGGGGATGACGGGGTTGTGGGGCGCCCCCGGTGGGACCACGCTGTCCGGTAGGGTCCAGTGGCCTGCGCTGGGGGACAGGCTGCTGCAGTCCCAGGAGAGCTGTTGGGGATCCCTGACCGCTCCACCCCCACCTCCCCGGGAACAGCAGGCCCTTGTTCCCCAGTAACCTTCACGCCTAGCCCAGATGAGTCATCGGAGCCAGCCGGAGCCGAGGAGCCCGGGGCAGAAACACAAAGCCGGGCAGAGGCCGGGACGGAGCCGAGACACAAAGCAAGAGGTACACAGAGCCGCCCCAGACACGCAGGCCGGGGCCAGGCAGACACGCAGAGGCGCGGTGACGCGCGGTAATCCGCTCCCACACGCCGGTCCCCATCTCTGCCGGGCCAGGACACACGGCCGGCACGGCAGGGGGGCCTCGAAGGACACTTCCGCGAGCCCCACCTGCCCTGCGCTGCCAAATGCACGCCCGCAGGGCTGCCTTTCCCGCACCCTGCACGCCTCCCCCGCGTCTGCGTCCGAGCCCGCGTGCTCGGACGTGCAGCCGGCCCCAGCCGCCTGTAAACACGGCCCGCAGCCGCGCGTGCGCACACCGCCGGCGCCGACCCCACACGCGCACACGCGCACACGCGGCCTCCGCGGAGGGCTCTCGGCGCCAGGCCCCCCGGGCGCGCGC